CCTGTGTACACTTTATATTAGAACACTCACCTGTGTACACTTTATATTAGAACATTCATTTGTGTACACTTTATATTAGAACGCTCATCATTGTACTCTTTATATTAGAATACTCATCAGTGTATACTTTATATTAGAACTCTCATCTATGTACACTTTATATTAGAACATTCATCTGTGTACACTTTATATTAGAACACTTATCATTGTACACTTCATATTAGAACACTCGCCTGTGTACACTTTATATTAGAACACTCATCAGTGTACACTTTACATGAGAACTCTCATCTATGTACACTTTATATTAGAACATTCATCTGTGTATACTTTATATGAGAATACTCTTCGGTGTACGCTTTATATTAGAACAATCATCAGTCTATACTTTATATTAGAACACTCATTGGTGTACACTTTATATTAGAATACTCATCGGTGTACACATTATATTAGAATACTCATATCGGTGTACACTTTATATTAGAATATTCAACTGTGTACACTTTATATTAGAATACTCATTTGTGTACACTTTATACTAAAACACATTTAATGAGCTAAAGTACAATAAAAGTCATGCTTGAGATTTTGTTTTTTACAGTTTACAATTCTCACAATTTATGGATCAAAAACATCTTATATTAGTTTGAATAACATTATTTACTTTCACAATGGAGAGTTCTAGTGTACTTTTGATTTTATTTGGTGTGTTTCCAATTTTTATGTTTTTAATCAGGAATTAATCTACCATAAATCATTCTCCAGTAGAAATGGATCAAATCTTCCTCATATGAAGAAAAATGTTCTCTTAAAAACGATAAAGAAAATTTACAAACATTAGTTTTGTTTTTTAATATTTATTTGTCTTTGAGGATCTATGTAAGTGTAAGTAAATTGCTTATTTTACTATGTATATATATATATATGTTATTTTTATACAAGCTATATTAATGATTCTAGTAGAGGGACACTACTCTTCAAAGTTATGCAAAGTATTCTGTTAGGGTCATGACATTTTAATGTGGGTATTGCTGTGTTAAGTATTATTTTTATGAAATATTGTGGTATTCTTAGACAATTTTCATTCTGTCTTATCAGAATTATTTTGCATTATAATTTTTCAGAGATAAAGAACATTTTATGGATAAATACATGTAAGTGTGGTTTATTGATTTACTGAAATATTCTTGAAAATAAAATTTATACTGCTGCTTTAAACTGAGCAGTACTTTACAATGAACATTAGTTAATGTCTTTAAATTTAACTGACAGTGCCTAGCATGAGGCTTGACGTAGAATATAATTAGTTATAATATTTTAAGTAAGAAAAATATTAAGTTAAATCCTTGCCATGCCTTTGGAAAGCACATGTGGCTGGTAGACTTGTATTCCAGTTTCAAGAGGCTCAAGTGGATGAGAATAGTGACCCATTTCCTCTTGACTAGATGGGGTGCTAGTCCACTGCAGGTTAACAGCTGGTACCCATCTTACAACTGGGTACACTGAGACAAGTGGAGTAAAGTGTCTTGTTCAAGGACACAGTAGTGTGACATGGACCACCCTTGAACCCTCAACCATCCAACTACAAGTCCAAAGCACAGAACCACTGAGCCATGCTACATGCCTACCTAACAATTTCAAATGAACATCATTATTGATGCTACTGTTACATGTTTACTTGTGAATATTAATCCTGATACATGACAACAGTTAGTAATTGTTGTAGAAGTATTTCAAGCTGCTCTACTGTGAATAAGAAAAGGGATAATAAAATTAGTTTGAGTTGTGTTGGCTATGCAGTTAATACAGTATGTCAGATCAATAAGAATTACATACATAGAAGCACTTGAGCAAAGGTATGCTAATACTGTAAAGTATGAGAACATTTTACAGTGGTTCTATCCCAGTAGTATAAAAAAAGGGTTATTGTGTAAAGTGTGTGTGTGTGTGTAAAGTACTCTTCAGCTATACGTTTAACAATTCATTTACTAACTCTAGTATAAGACTTGCATCTCCTCTAAGTAGAAATTCGTAACACCAGAGTAGTGACAAGTAATCAAAGGAACTAAAACAAAAACAGATAAATTTCATGAAGACTTGTTACTTTATGATTAAAAGAAAGTGAACTCATAGTAATAAATTTGAAGAAATGATTAAGTATCTTCCTTGTGAACATGAAAAACAAGACTTTTAGCAATTGTTATGAGATATTAATTGGTGTGAATCAGTTTATAGAAGTCACTAACAGAAAGATGATTCCCACTTTCTAGAAAGACTTTTAACCTCATAGCTAACAAATGTGCTATAACTACTGAATATATAGGGGGAGGGGGTCCACTCAGTAAAAAAAAAAAAGATTTCATTGTGAAAACATTATTACACTTTAATGCTACAGATGTAGCATGGGCATGAATCTGATTAGCGGAATGATAAGATAATTTCATTGTAGGACACACGGAATTCTTATCACTTGTTAGGTAACCTGCCAAGCTGTACCAGACAATTTTTTGACCTGTATACATTTTTAGATACTGTACCTTTAAGATAAATAAGGTTTCTACCAAATGGGTATCTATTTTCCAACTAAATAAACATACAATTTTAATTTAGAGTTAGTTATTTGAAATTTCATTGTATTGGTACCTATTGATTTGTCATTTGTCTGTTTCACATTTTCACTAAACTATACCTTCATACATGAGAGAAGCCATAACTCTTGGGTAAAATGAACTGATGCCCCACCCCAGTGCTCAAATTTGCATTAATCACTTTATGTACAGATGAAAATACATGTGGCAATATTTGATAAATGGTGTACACTACTTACGTCCAGGAACATTATCTTGATGTATTAAATGTAACAGACGGTAAAGCCACAGCACTGACTGCTACCCTTCACCCCTTTTTATTTGCCAAAAACTGAAATCTAAAAAAACATTCTTTATCTAGATTTTATGATACATTTTGAGTTTTAGGTTCAAATATAAAGTCCACCAACATTTCCAAAACTGTCAGTTTTTTCAATTTGTCAGTTGTAATAATCATAGGCCTTAAAGAAATGTCAGCTGACTTAAGGAGCGAAATATATAAAAATCTTCTGGCTTTTAGTTATGAGATGATGTCTTACAAAGATGCAAGTGATTGATTTCCAGGAAATAAAAGTAAAATTGTAGTTGCATTACTTGAGTTATATGCCAAGAAAAAGATAAACTGAAATGAAGAATAAATGAATTTATCTTCTTAAACCTGAAATCATAGGTATGATCTTTGGTTTAACTAACATTCTTAAGAAAGTAATAAGTTGAATTTGTCCCCAGATCTTAAAGTTTATAAAATTATCTTTCTTTACCTTTAACCTAACTTTCTTACTAAAAGTATGCAAGATAAAAACAGGGATTTAAAACTAATTGCTGTAGCTAATGACAAGCTTCTCATTCAAAAGAGGTATGAGAAATATGGGACATTTGATCTTTGAAAAAATTATAGAAGAAACTGTAAAAGTTTTAATTGTTGCTCAAATTGCAGAAATTGATCACGTTTGAGAGAAATGTAGTTTCAGAGCTTTTAGATTCTTGTTGTGAGATAACGAGTTCAACATTTATTTTGTTATAGTTTTGTTTACCATTCATTTATTATTCTTTCTATTGTTTAGTTCAACTATGAATGTTTAGTTATATTAAAATGCCAACTCACCTTCTAACTAGAGCACGTTGAATATGATTATCTTTTTATTATGAAACTGACACAAGCATCCATTAGCAGTTATGTACAGATATTAATGTTAGGAAAGATTATGTAAATTAGCTAGTCACATGGGATGTAACCTCATGGTCTAACCACTAAATAAAAACCCTTTCTTGATCTTAAATGAGTAAGTTCATGAGATATAGTTACAAAGAGTTATTACTGATTGTGACTCAATATTGTCATTAATCATGAGAAGTGGTTTAATTTTGGAATTATTGTGTTTTTTCAGAATTAGTTGGTTTTTTCTTGTGGTTCTTTTACCTAATTCCATTATTTATTGAAAGTAATAACGTTGGTATTTATGTTGTATTGTTTATTAATGTTTGTTTCAAGCCCCAGTCAGTCACGGATATACTACCTTTTTCTTTGTTTTTTGTAAGTGATAAAATTTGTATTCCAATTGTTTGAAAGTTTTATTTTTGATTTCTATTGTTGTTATAGTTGAATAAATTGTTTTTTTGTTTAATGTTTGTTGTAACAACATTTTGTTTTAGTCTTCCTGAAGACCTAACATTATTTCATGAATACGAAAACTATGAATTAGAGAAACTGAAGGTTCGTTGTGATGTTTAAGAATCAGGAAACTTTTGAGGGACACATTAAGAGTAAATATTTTGTAGTGGAAAGTGTTAAGATATTTGGAGAATTTCAAACACAAAATTAAAAAATATCAAGCACAAGAAGTTCAAAGAAACCTTTTTGAACTTCAAGAATTCTCATTTTAACTTTTGAGTAAAGAAATCCTTAAGGACATTATGCTGCCTGGTATTTACTCAAACTCTTAGTGTTCATTAAGTATTCCAGTATGAGTCGCATCAATTGAATGAGGCATTAGTTAGATGAATTTAAATAGCTCTGAAAACCAGCCTAATGAGATTTAATATCAAGGAACCTTCAAGTTTATCTGATGAAAATTGCTTGGACCCTCCTGAAAAATTCTTCTGTAAGGATAATTTTCAGTGTACTCTTGTGTTTTATGTCTTTTTTTTCTTTTATCTATATTTTGTATTACACTTGCTGTTAAGTTTGTAATTTTTAACACAGGAAAATTTAATACTTATACATTTAAAATAAGTAAACTGTCCAAGTAAAATATTCCAAACATGTTGTGTAACCTTCAAAATGTTTTCCTTTTATCTGCCAGGGCCTCAATTGAAGTTTGGTGAACTAACCCCTGTTATTTAAAATCTTCCTTTTGTATTCTGTTTATTATTATTTTGTCTATAAATAGAAGGAATTATATAATGTTCTATATAACAGATGGTGTTATTTATCTAGTTCCTGCAAGGATTATCAGCTTTGGTCAGTCTTTAATGTCTCTTCTTGGAGGTATGGTCTTTCTACCATGTCATGCTGTTGGACATCCACAACCTGGACGCAAGTGGACAGTTGGGTATTACAGCCTTTTTTAGCAATGTTTATTTTGATCATATAATCTGTAGACTTAATATAAGAATGAAAATTGTACTTAGTTTAATCTAGGTTTGTGTTTTGATAGAAAACAACAATACAATTTTAATAGTACCAATTTGTTCTTTGTAGCTTGTGATTTTTACTGACTTGATATTTAAAACTAGAACCAGTTTTTGAAAAGTGTTAAGTTTTTATTTATTACCAAAATATATAATATGCAATCAGTCTTTAGTGCTACACTATAACAATTAGTTTTTAGAACACTCTAATTACAGGATTATTGATTAGAAAATAAAATATAATGAAATATTGTCATTTAATTTTGAACAGACCAATGTTTATGTCAAATTTGAATTACCAGATAAAATGTATATGTTCTATTTTTTCAAAGAATTGAAAGTTTTCTGAATAATGTATTGTTTGATTTCAGGATTCGTCGTTTATTTCATTCCAGGAGCAAGCCCTTTGTAAAATCTGAACGAATGGAAGTGCAGAATGATGGGTCACTGTTTATTAGAAAGCTTCAGCAACTGGATACCAACAATTATACCTGTCATGTACACAATAAACATGGTGCTGATGAAATTACATATTCTTTGGCCATGCAGGGTAAAATAATTTAATACATTATTTTGACTTCTGTCCCCAAATGACTTAAAAGCAGCTTTGTTAACTTGCTAGTTAAGATTACCCCAATTTGGCTTGAAAACCACCCATCTTTTGCTTTACCTGATTATTACAATTAAGTAACATATTTTACAAATAATAAAAAGAAATAATTTATTTTTAGTCTAAGAGAACATATTGGACACATGCACAAAAAAGGAGTGTCATACTTTTCCTTGATAATTAATTATATTTATTATTTTCTATTTCTAGTCTTTGTTGTTCCTTGGTAAGATAATGGTAAGTTCAAGGACTTACAACTCTAGAATCCAGGGCTTGATTCCCTGCAGTGGACACAACAGAGAGCCCAATCAGGCTTTGCTCTAAAATAAACAGACTTCACAAAACCTTTAAAAGGGATTCTACAAAATAAATACTAGTGGCAAATCCTAGTGAATTATTTTAATAACAACTTAAAACAAATAAGCTAGTGAATTAACTGATTTCTGCCATATTGTATACTTAATGGTTTAACACAAAAGGTGTTTGCAGTCTCAGTAACTCTAGTAAAAGCAGTGTTTACACAGTCTAACCCTATATATATATCACCATATAGTTGCAAAGTACAAAATCTCATGTTCATCATAACTTAACCAAATGATAACAAGGGACTATATGGTCCTTCAAAGTTGTCATTGCATGTTCATCAATCCTTCAGAAAAGTACACATTTCAACCTATCTTTTACTTCTCAGGAAATCAGTGATTCCACTTTTCAGTTTCTGTAAAGTGTGGCCTCCACTATTACAAATGATAATATATTTCATAAGTACTTTGATCACACTGTTAGAAAAATAAAATTGTCACGACTGGGACCTAGCTTGTCTTTTCCTAATCTTGGTTCCAGTTAGGAATACACAAACTTAAGATTAGGAAAAGACAAGCTAGGTTCCAGTTAGGAAGACACAAACTTTTAGCTTGTCTTTTCCTAATCTTAAGTTTGTGTCTTCCTAACTGGAACCTAGATTGTCTTTTCCTAATCTTTAGTTTGTGTCCTTTCATCATATTATCTTCAGAATATATCACAAAGAAATCAGGGGCATTTATCAATCCACAGGATAATCTTATAAACTTCAGTATGATCATCTCTTACCCTTATTTTCTCAAGAGAAAATAAGTTATGAGATTTTATACTATTTCTTTAAGCTAACCATTCTATCCACAGAGTCATTCTAGCTGATCTCCTCAGAATCCTTTTCAGTAAGTCAATATCCATTTTAAGATGAAGAGTCCAAAACTGTGCCCAATATTCCTAGTGAGGCCTAACTAGTGATTTGTATAAAGAGAAAATTACCTCTTTTGGCTTGTAATCGGTATGCCTGCACAAACCCTAATATTCTATTATATTTTATACTGCAACAGAGCACTGCTTCAATCATTTAAGTGACTTATCCTATAATGATATGCGAAGACTTTTCCAGTCAAGCTATTGAGTTGCTTCACATCTGTATATTAAACTTCCTATACAATATTTTACCTGAACACAAAAAAGCTTTGTCAACTTATACTGCCTTCTACCAACATAAATTTTCGCTCACCACTAGCATTGATACTCCCAATATCTCTACATACTAGCATGCAAATAATTATGCAGTAACTCTTCACCAATAGGAGTGCGACACTACCCCTATCATAACTAGTGCCCTCATTAGTCTTGCAGCTGTTAACCACTTCTTGATTGGCAGTCTTATTGAATGGATGTGTTTGTGCCTGTGGTTTGATTCACTTATCCACAAGTTTTTCTTTCTTAATTTTTCTTCTTTAGTTACATTGTTTTTTACTGTTTTCGTTCTCCTTTGTGGAGAGTTACGAGTTATTTCATTTTATCTCCTCTTTCAATTTCATAAGTTATGCACTTGCAGTTTCAGGTGGCCACAACTACAACTGCTGTTACTGCTGCAGCAGAATTACCAACCATGTCCAACAGGTTGGAACTGCAATTCTTGGCCTATGAAATGACAGCTCTGGGAAATTGGTCGGGAGTTGACAAATTTCATGCAAATATCAGAACAAACTGAAGATTGTCTAACCACAGTTTTCAGTGATTGGGAAGTATTAGATTAGGACAGCCTTTTTCTCCCTCCTGAATATGCCTCTCAGTCACATGTCATTCTGGGGGACTTGCCCAGACCTCTTTCCCCTTTGGTGGATTTAATTGTTCAGGTATGTTATGTTCTGTCCTTATCTCCCATTTCCTATGTACCACCCTGCCCTTCTCAAGGAGAAGTCTTTGGGTGGTTATTTAGTGTTTCCTCCTTCCCCAGATATTGGGGTTCGTATGAGTTGTTTTGGATAGCATTTGCATTCTGTAGACAGTATGCCTTGATCCCCATGTGCTGTGGATGATCATGCTTATGATTTTCATCATTCCCACTTCCCTTATTTGGCTCACAGCATTTAGTGTTGCTTCTCTCTTAATGGGGATTGGACCCCAATAATTCGATTACCTCTTCTCTTATTTGTTTTACTCTGATCACCCTTCTTGAGTCAGGGCTGGTGGGAGCCAGACTCCTTCAACTTGCCCACGTTTGGAGGTCCTTGGTGGTAAATCCATGGGTTCTGAAAGTTGTTTCAGTAAGTCTTGTACTTCCATTGTTTTTCAATCCCATTTCCTTCTATCTTCCTCTGGATCTTATTTTTTGCCCACCTGATTCATTCCAAGGACTTCATTTCCACCATTATATGGAAGTCTGGTTGCTTCTTGCCTTCTCACAAGATGACTCAGTCCCACATCCTCAGTCTTTCCTCACACCCACACAATGTTTTAGTTCATCTCGGGGTGTTCCTCAACTCCCTCCTTTGTTGAGCCTTACCTGCTCCACTTTAGTTACAAGCAATAGAATGTCTCATATGCAGCATTTTATCCTCTCCTTCTCTTATTACACAAGAGCTTCTCTCTCTTTTGGGGACACAGATTTCTCTCAAAGCCCTCATTCTTCTTGGTCGCACCATCATCAGTGAGTTTTCTAAGATCAATTTAGCCTTGTTTGAGATCCCTTATATGCCCTCTAACCTTTCCCCCTCCCTTAGAGACTGATTTCAACTGGTGGTTGGATTGGAACAATACTACTGTGGGTATTCCTCTTCCTCCTCCTCATCTGTAATATCACCTTTTACGAACGCTTCTCTTTCTAGTTGGGGGTGTATCTCGACACTCATGAGGTTTTGAGGCAATGAACTCTTTCTGAGACCTCTCTCCAAGTCAATCTCATGGAACTTCATGTTGTTTTTTCTCCTGATTATTGTTGCCTTTTTCATGTTTTCTTCCCATCGACTCTGTCATCTTACCATGCCCTTGGCAGCACATTTCCATCTTCTTTTAGGGGACATCATCATTGCTGTAACTGTTTATCTGTATATAGTATGTACTCCTTTCTATTTCTTTGCAAGGGCCTTTAATGCATATTTGGATCCTGCTCTATGGTGCATGTTGCTTGACCAGGTATACTTAATCTTAAATCTGCACTGTATGACCTGTGATCATGTACCATGCTAGATGATTATGACATTGAGGCTTTTCCTACTACAGACCTGATATACAATTCCAGATGCTACCAGGTGGTTCCCAAGCCCATTTGTTTCTTCCGTGAAAATCCTCTTCCATGACCATTTTCCCATTACTCTTCTGCATTAATTTCGCCAGTTAATTCACCTGGCATTTTTTTTTCTCTTTCTCCTGATTATTGTTGCCTTTTTCATGTTTTCTTCCCATCAGCTTTGTCACCTTACCATGCCCTTGGCTGCAAATTTCCATCTTCTCTTGGGGGGACATCGTCAGTGCTGTAAATGTTTATCTGTAGGCGGTAAATACTCCTTTCTTTTCCTTTGCAGGGACCTTTATCACATATTTGGATCCTGCTCTGTGTTGAGTGTTGCTTGACCAGGTATACTTAGTCTTAAATCTGCACAGTACGACCTGTGATCACGTACCATGCTAGATTACTATGACATTGAGGCTCTTCATTCTGTAGACCTAGTGTACAATTCCAGATGCTACCAGGTGTTGGTTTATTGACTCCATGCTTTCAAAATACAATGTCATAGCACATATCCAGGTCATATTATGCTCATTGTTGATGTAGGGTGTTCTGCAGGACTGCTCATAGGTATAACTCGCTGTCTTTTATTTCCTAAATATGTTTGTCTCCGACCATACACTCATGGACTAACAAGAGTAAAGCAGACAGGGATTACTGCTGATCTCTGGTGATCCTGGCATTTGAGGCTCTTCCTACCACAGACCTGACGTATTATTGCAGATGCCACCAGGTGTTGGTTGATCAACTCTGCCAACATGATTTCACTGTTTTTAAAAATATGGAATCGAGGTCACCCATTGCAATGTCTCTGGTGCTGTGGTCCTCCGGAATCTCCAATGCAATTTTTTTCCTCCTTCTTCTAGTGGAGTATGGGAGCCCTTGCTACTTACCAGTTCCTAGCTGCTGGATGGTGGATCACAGAGGCCTGTCATTAACATTCAGCTGGGAGTAGGATGGTGGCATTCTGTTATTGTAGATGGTATAATGCTCTTCCTACAACAGACCTGATGTATAATTCCAGATGCTGCTAGGTATTGTGGAAGTGATGTACATAAAAATCACAAAACACAAAACTGAAAATTTGTATTATCTTCTCATGGATCCAGTGAACCTCTATACCAAATTTGGTGAAGATCCACCTACAGCGGGAAAAGTAGTAACATATTACTAATGAACAAAGAGTACTTGGCTCAGAAGGTTGTGGTTTCCCACGGGTGTGTTGTTTTTAGTTCCTTCTCACACCCCATCGTTTTCCTTTAGACACTTCCTCAAGGGGGATCATCTTCTAACCGGCCCTCCGCCTGTTGAATGTGGGATTTAGCTTTTTGTGAGAAGAGGTAAGATATTGTATTGGAAGTTAACAGTTTCTTAAACTGAAAATGTATTTCCAATACATATTTACCTCTTCTTCCATTTCCCACTTGTCCTCCCCACTTCCAGTATAGTTTGGTGTGAACTGGCTCTCAGATGTTAAGTTTATGTTTACCATATTAGTTCACTATATCAGTACCATAGAATTCCATTATAATTTATCAAGCTTAGTAACTAAGCTGTATTTCAGTCTGAAAAAAATATGAAATTTCGAGCAGACTAAAGACACAACCTACCTCCTTGAAACCATGATTCAAAAGAAAGAGATGGCATCCTAAGAATTTAAAATGACTAAGAAAGCCACTAGGGGGACATTCTGAGTGTTTGATTGGTTATTCATACAGTTGAGCACATGTTCCATTTCCTTCTCATAATTCTGTATGCAGGATGTCTCTTCCCTGCATTTACAATTGGGTGAGCTATGATTTCTACTAGTAATATCGGTTACAGATGTTGTCCTGTTCTTACAGTTGAGTTGAGGCAATTCCATGACCCTGTAATGCCAGGCTTGGTTTGTTGTTCTTCTTGTTCTTACAGTGGTTTTGGGAGTTTCTGGTCTTTGTTGCTAAAAGATAGAAACACTGAAAAAGGGAGAGAGAGATGTTGTTTATCCATTAAGAAAATGAATCTGGATCACAGAATATTTAATGAGCTTTCATTGTAAAGTGTATTATTTTGCTTTACACAAGAGGTTCTCCAAAGATGTTGAATAATAAATTTATAGATAAGTGTAAAGAATATATATATATTATCTTTATTAACTATTAACATTAAAAAAATACTGAAAAACTCGTGTGCGATCATTCCAGAATTATATTATATGCATCAAGTGCTTCTTATGAACATTGTCCACTTTTAAGTCATATATATA